TTTTTTTGCTTTACAAAAGGCCCCATTAGCTTGTAATCTTAAACCGCTCCCTTTGTCACTTTCACACTATTAAACATTTTCCATGGCTCTGGTTTAGATCTTGTACCTTTGCAATCGGCAAAGTTTCTCTCAGAAAACCTTTAATTGCTGATAACCTTTTTAATAATTTCTCAAGCTAAAAATTCACTGATTTCAATATTTCACGTGTGAAGATCTGTTGTTTTTGTTTTCATCCTTATTACCTGGATATCTTTGGGCTTTAGCAGGTTGGGTGGGAATTACTGTTGACACCTTTAATCTGAAAGTCAATAGGCATTAATCAGGTGCATGAGAACTGTCATCCTGCAGATAGAGCTCTGCTGAACATACCTTTGTCACTGCTGAACTCCAGCTCGGTGCACTTCATTCTTTATGCCTTCAAATTAGCCTTTTCCTATAAACTAGAACATGTACTAGTGACAACTACAAAATACTTGATTTTGCCAAATTTTATTGTTTTTTTTTAATCTGTTAAATATACAACTTATCCTATATAGTTGCAGAGTTGGAATAAAAACTTCAAGATGCATACATAAGAAAACAGAATGGCATCAAGCAAGTCTCCTCAATTTAGTTTTTCCTCTTCACAGAGTACAATATAAAAAGCAAGGAGAGTTGCGACCCCCCCCCATGCCAGAAGATTCAAGAGAAAGCTGCTTACCAGCAATTAAATACAAGTCAAACAACAAATACATTCATAGTAATGAGAAGTCTATTTCTTACAGAATTCTCTTGTACTGAAATGTTTAGGAGCAAAATTCTGTGTATAAACGGTAAACAGATTACATTCAAGCGAAGTGTTTATTCGCAGTCCTCCACTTCCTACAAATTCAAGTTTCAACAATTTTCTTGTCTTGAAGCTCTTCAATATTCCTTCAACAAAGACTTTGGCAGCACTGAGAACTGAAGACACTGTCTTTGTTTAACACGTGGTTTTAAAGCTGGGTAAAGTGTGTTTTGGCCCAGCTGGGTGGAACTGGTCAAACACTTCCAGCAGTGTAAGTGCACATCTATATTTCACTAAGTAATCCTATAAGGCAAAGCAAATATTTTGGACTTTATCCCAGATGAGGAACAATGTCGACCAAGAGAAACTTCTTTAAGATTCCCAAACACTACCAGGACCACTGTGCTGTTAGCTTGTGGTATTTAGGTGCTTGCTCTTTGGCCATCAACGCACTATATTATCGAGAGACCTTCAGTAGGTAGCTTGGGTGGTTTGAAAAAAAAAGAAAAAAAAAAACAACTTTCAGCTTCCTAACAATAAACAAAGCCCACCTCTGTGAAAAAGCTGATTATCTAATCAAGTTGCCATAGTAACCACAAACAGCCCCAAGGTCTCTCTAGGAGACGGCGGTATGCTAATCTCTCCAGCTCCCACGGTTCCCTGCACTCTCCTCAAATGAGGAATTGGCCTCAAGTCAATTTCCTCACAAAATATTTCTCATCTTATTTTCCATCATCACCGTTTCCTTCTTCACTTCCTTCCTGCCGAGGACGAATATGAACAGTTTCCAGTGTAAGCTTCTCTCTCACTTTCTTTACGTCAGGAGTGATGTGTGGACAAAAAGCAGATGCTTCTCCTCTGCTCCCCTCGTCATCCTTCTCTGACTACCAGGAGGAAAAGAATGGCCGCTTGCAGTGGAAGGTTTGTGTAAACGCATTCCCCAAAGTGACCACACGACCTTGGCCACCTGAGCGGCTGCGCTCCACTACCACCCGAGGCATCTGCACCAGTTGGAGGGGGCTCTTCCCGTCCTTCAACGCCTGAGTCAGGTTCAACACCTGGGAAAAGACGGTGCATTAGTTGTGCAAAAGCAACTCGAAGTTTTTAGAGAATATGCAAACAACTTATTGGAAATATGAAACCGTCTGTGCTTACATATTATGCATGTGACATGGCTTTGATAAAGGACAGTAATACATAAAAACTGCAGTTATTATTAGCTACTTTCTCCACAGCCAGGTCATTTTAATATCTGACAAAAGTTAAATAATTAACTAAAAGTTAAAATAAATAAATAAATTACAAAACAACTGCACTACAGGACAAAGTCTTGAGCCATCCCTCATTTTGTTATATTTTGCTTGGAAAATGGGAAATAAGTGCAGTGATCAGTGAAATGTGCAAACATGTGTGGAAATAGCACATGAAGCAAACACAGAAATGGTGAAATTCTGACAAGCTTGCAAATTTAGTACAAGCACCTTTATTCTTCAAAACAGGCTCTATTTTAGTAGTTTTCAGGAATAATTCTCCAGGCTTCTTAACATTGAAGCTCTAATCTGGACGTTACCTGATTTTGATCCATTTGTTTCCTGCCTCTGTCTCACACTACTTCAATAATATTGAGGTCCAGGCTCTGAGGATACCAATCCATAACTGATAGCAATCTATTATGCGTTTTCTACCCAGGTGTGCTTTCACTGCACTGGCAGTGTGTTTGAGATCAATGTAATGCTGCAAATAAGCTACTGCCAATCAAGGCGCTTTCCAGATGGTACTGCACAGTACTTTTCTGCGTTTATAATTCCATCAATTCTGACAAGATCCCCCACACCACTGACGGAAATTCAGCACCAAACTATGACAGAGCCTCTACCACATTTAACAGATGCTGCACACATTCACTGTTGTACCTCTCTACTGATGTCCTCCATAACACTCCAACGACACTGACTAGAACTTAAAATGTTAAATTTACATTCAAAATTCACAAGACCCGTTGTTCACAACAGGTTGTTGTACAAAAGTCCAGTTCTTGTGTAACTTGGCATAACTCTGCCCTTTCACCCTCTTTCCCTTCTTTAAGAAGGGCATCTTTACAACAGTAGACGGATCAATTGACGGGTCAGATGTTTTTCTCAGGTCCTTGGGTCCTGTGTTATGCCTTTGTTGGATTTATTCCTTTTTCTTAAGGACATGACTTTAAGCACTTTAAACCATATTAAAGAATTCCAATAGGGAAGGAGAACAAAAATACAAATAATTGAGAATGACTCAAATCCTGCACAGTATTGTTCACTAATATAACCTGTTTTTATTATTAAACTGCTTGCTGAGAGAAGAATAGAAAGACTGAAAGGTGAGACAGGACAGTGGCTGCAGATGCAAAATTAGGGTAAAATGTGTGGTGAAGACGTTACAGAGCATACAAAGTGACAGAAAGTAGGCCATGAGAGGAGAAAGGAGAACAAGGTAGGATATAAAAGGAACAGGCAGAAAAAAATAAAATAGAGGACAGAACAGTACAAAGTAAAAAAAAAATGACTACAGGAACATTAAAGTACTCATTAAAAATAAAAAATAAATTACAAAAGCTCACCTGTCCTCTCATGACAGACATCTGTCTCTCAAACATGGTTTTGTCAAAGCCTTTATCTGTCTGAAAACAGAAAACGACTGATATTAGCTGATATCCTGCAATTAAGAATTCAAAAATCTAGAAACAGATTAAAAAGGAAAGCTTATGAGAACATCTCATACCTTGAACATCTCATAGAGGTCCTCACAGAGATCCTGAACAAAGTTCATGTCAGAGAGGCGGGACAGCACAAGGTCTCTGGTCTCCTGGGAGAAGGGTACCTTGGCCTGAGGAAGCCATGCCCAGTGGAATGGATCTGTTAGGAGGACAACACAAATGTTTCCGTCTGTATAGCCTTTCACTGTCACTGAACCTATAACTATCATTGTATTTGATAATAAAGGCCACATGTAGGATTGTTTAGTGGCCTAATTTTTCTTTACAGTTTTTTTTTTTTTTATTGTAAAAAATTCTTTAATTCTTGCCAGAACACAGATGACAAGATTCTACCATAAGAAGAAAAGGACTGAAATCATCCAACAGCAATGAGATTATCAGAAAATTAAAGGAACTGTCTGTGGCAGTGTCCAAAGGTAAAAATCATACCATCACATCTACAACTTAGTAATTGCAACACTTTATCAAGTTCACAGATTAGTACAATTTTACAAGCTCTTACATTAGTTTTACATCTGGAAAAAGCCGAGCTAGTAAATTCCTCCTATTTACAACCTTGGTACTAAGATAAGCTAATTGTATTGTCTAATCTGGACAGCGGGTCTAAAAGTAGTATACATCTCAAAAAGTATGCAAATAAATCCCCTTTCAGACATGCAGTCCCCTCCAGTAATTTCATAGTATCTCAATGTTTTGTCTTCAGGTACGATGAAACTTGTGGTGCAATATAAATGCATTTGTGCATCACTCAGTACACAGCACAAGTCTAAACTGCATACAGTCACAGTGCCTGGTTCTGATTTGTAATGAGAGTAAGACTTTTAGCTGTGACACATTTTGCAAGAGAGATCTCCTAAAGCCCACGTGAACAAAGAGCCGGGTCAACCAACAATCACTGTGGCACAGAAGGAGACTTTAAACACTCAAATAAAAGTGCCTTTTCACTTTGTGTTTTTCAGAAGGTGATGTTGACAATACCCTTTCCTACAAGTGCAATGAGTCTTTTTAATGAGTCTTTACATGAAATCGCACATATAAAGGGGCCCTCTCATTACTGTCACTGACAGAGATGGTGAGCAAAAGTGAAATAAGTGATAAACATACAGGCTCTCCATTCATCCGGGTGTTTAAAGGGGAAGGCCAGGCCGTTGTCAATTGCTGCAATCTTGATGCAGGAGTCCTGAATGTTCTCTGTCCATTCTGCATCCTGCAGCATGAGGGAGAAAAAGATTAAAGACCTCGAATTCATTAAGTGAGTAAATTATTAATGACTGATGACCAAGTTAGTTATTGATTGAGGGGTGATTACTGCCACACATAAATGACAACTTTTGTCATTTATCGGCAAATCGAAAATAATGATTGATGATAGGTAACAAAGACGTACATCAAGTTTGTTCCATGCGTGTGTTTATCTATGCATTTGTGAGTCTAGTTTGCACATACACAGAAGCAAAACCAACATAAGGTGTGTTCTGGTTTAAAAATATATAAGTGTTCATGTCTGTGAAGGTTCTCAGTCATCCAGGTCATCGTAGTCAAAGGAGCTTGCAAAAGAAAAGTGTCTGGACTTCTTTAAGTTGCTTGAAGACGTTTCACCTCTCATCTGAGAAGCTTCTTCAGTTCTAAGGTCAAATGGTGGAGAGTCCCAGATATAAACCTAGTGGGAGTATCCCCCCACAGAGGGGGGATACTCCCCTCTAATCGCCTGAGCCAAGGTGTGAAAATGGGTGTGGGTCCCAATCAGCCAGAGTTTCGGGTCAGTTCATTGTGAAACATGGCCCCACCGTATCATGCGAATTCCTGAGGTCAGATGGCCCAGGATGTGAGTGGGCATTAAGGCGTCTGGGGAGGGAACTCAAAACTGGATTATAGATGGCAGAGAGTTGGTGTCATAAACCCCCGACTCTGTTCAAAGATGGTTGCTCACAGTGGACATAGATGGCTTCTTTCACTCCTCTTTCAAACCATCTGTCCTCTCTGTCCAAAATGTGAACATTGGCATCCTCGAAAGAGTGTCCTTTATCCTTAAGATGCAGATGGACTGCTGAGTCTTGTCCTGTGGAGGTGGCTCTTCTGTGTTGTGATAAGGTGGGGCCAGGTTTCACAATGAACCCACCCGAAACTCTGGCTGATTGGGACCCACACCCATTTTCACACCTTGGCTCAGGCGATTAGAGGATCATCAGGGGGTCCTTTTGTCCCTCTGTGGGGGGACACTCCCACTAGGTTTATATCTGGGACTCTCCACCATTTGACCTTAGAACTGAAGAAGCTTCTCGGATGAGAGGTGAAACGTCTTCAAGCAACTTAAAGAAGTCCAGACGCTTTTCTTTTGCAAGCTCCTTTGACTATAAGTGTTCATGTGTTTCAACAGAGTTAAGCGAGGTGAATGCGTGCTTGGTGAACAGTCTGAACACACCTCTGTCATGTGGTAAATGACCTCACCTTTTGTTCTTCTCCCTCTCCTTCTCCTGGTGTCTCGTACTTGATCAACCAGTTGTCATTCCCTCGATCTAACAAGGAAAACAAACAGAAACAAGTTTTGATACGCAGAAATGAGAGGGAAGACAGAGCGATGTCAAAGATAGCAAACAGCTGTTGTGCGCAAGCATATACTAACTTAAAATAAATATGAAGATCAAAGGAATTTTTATCATAACCAGTGTATAACTAAATCGAAATAAAGCTGCCAACACTGTAATGAGACTACAATGACTGATCACTTCAATTTAAATCATTTATCGAAATGTTAACACGTGCACGCCTACCTGTGTTTCTGATAACATAGTCCAGCACCACCAGCCGCTCAAACTGCGACTGCAGCTGCTTCCTGATATTCTCTGGCAGTGGTTCTGCCTCAAAGCGTCGCAGCCAGTAGTCGGCTTCACGATAACCCTCCACAAACAGCTGAAATGAGCCCACCTGGTAACACACAGAGGCGCATATGGCATGAATGCAACTAACATACCCATTAAAACAAAACACTGTATAGCAATGTTCACTGCTCTGAGAACAGTATGTAGAGAGTTTAAACGGAAATGATGTAGTGTGCAGTGATATTACAAGTGAAGCTGTAATGTCGAAAGGCTGAAATGTCAGCTGTGCCTGACAGTTGAAAATATGCAGTCAGTTTCCTCATATTTACTTCCTCGAAGACACTTCAGCTATGTTTTCACATCATCTTAACATCCACTTATCTTTAGATCACCCACAAGACTGTCTCACGTAATAAACAGCCAGGAATGAAATACCTGTTATACATGTTTTTGATTAAAAGACAAAACTGATATACGATTACAGTTCACGATACAAGAGATAAATATATCCAGTAAGTATTACAGCTCCTGAAAAAGAACATGGCTTAAAGCAGAAACAACATTTATGGTTCTGATGGCCTTTTATCTAAACACATTGTTCTTCTTCAACACAAAAATAGTGTGGCATGATTCCTTTTACCGTTCTCTACCATCAGTGACTATTCTCAGCCCTCCACTCACTGATGCAACAACTCTTGTATGTTATAGAGAAGCAGTCAGTGTACATATGAATAGAACAAATCTGACAAAGAACCTCTTAACAAATATTGAAACAAGAAGATTAGAATTTGTTTTAACCAGTATGAGTATAGGTTTTCCTGCATGTGGCTGTGTTTTTGCACAAATACAAAGAGAAAGCAAGGAAGCAAGAGGAGGAAACGACACAGGAACGAACAAGAGAAAGGTCAAGATTCCAAGCTCCTCATGAATTGCTTATAGTAAACAAATGGTGACGTTAGACTGTGACGGTTTAAAAGTCTTTGGTACCTTGGGTGGGAGGCCCACTCTGTGGAAGCGTCGCCCCACTTTGGGGACTTTCTCTAGGGCGTACTTCTTCCCCCTGGACTTTGCTCTGTCTATGGCGTTGTAGTGGAATGTCTCACTGGCCAAATACACCACCTGATAAAATTTAGATAACACTGGTTTACTGTGAAACTGTGACCACTGCTGAACAGAAAGAAGAGCACAGAGACCCTAATCAAATCCAGATTAATTCAAGTGTTTACTTATACTGGGTTTTGGAGATTACATGTTATTAATTCAAAACTCTACAGAGAAAAAAAAAAAAAGCACACACCTTGGTTTTTGGCACCACACCAAGACAGAGTTTGGTGTCAACCAGTGAAGCAGCAGCCTCTGACAGATAACCCTGGTTAGGTAACAAGCACCCTCGGCCAAAACAACATGGACAGCAAAGCTAACAACAGAGACAGACATGGGGGAAGTTTTACAGATGAGGTGTTAATATTACCCTACTTTTTTTTTTTTTTTTATCTTACTCACTGTGTGCAGCCATTAAAGTAAAATGAATGACAATATATATCTTAATAACTTTTCAGATGTTTAAAAAAGGTGATACATGTGACAGAAAGTACCTTGTGAAAGTATTTGGTCCATTTTGGATTCAGATGACCATAAGGTTCCTCTGACTTTGGTTTAAAAACACCAATGATTTTCTGTAAATAAAAAACAAAACAGAGTGATACATTTGTTTTTTTTCTAAACTTGCAATCTGACATACAGCCCAGGTCAGAAAACAGAAAGAGTGAGAACTAATTTTACCACGCATATTAGTGTTGCTTCAAGTTTTACAAAAACACAATTAAAAAGCCAAAGACTAATAGTGTAACTATAAGCAACAAATGTAAAGCGTGAGGAATGCGTCTGACATCTTGGGCTCACCATCTTCCCAGTAATTACCTGTCGATGCCAGTGATCTGCTGTTATCAGCTGAACCATTGCTTTTTGAATAATTAAACAAGAATCATAATCCTGTGGATTTCCATATTCCTTCTTCCTAATTTACAAACTCTTATGATTAAAGCAATTAATGTTTTGAAAAAAGAAAAGATAAATGTTTGGAAATGTTGCTAAGCTACTGATTTATATTCTTCCTCCAAGTTTAGCCCATGAACCTTCCTTCGCTTGTCATGAATCTGTGTCATTTGTACCAAACGTACCCCTTTTGGGTCTTTGACAAAGTAACTCCCACTTGAGCCCTGGGAAATCCTCTCTGGAAAGACGCCACTCTCAATGGCTTGCTCTGCCCTTTGGATAATATCGGCAAACTCGGGGTCGTCAGGGAAATGGTTGAAATCTCCACTGTTGGTACCTAGAAGGGGAATAACTCAAGATTACTTTGATTTATTTTTACATTGTATACAACCAGAACTTGCTACAATTAAACAAATGTATTTTCTTAAGAACTAGAACAATAAGATTGCATTTACAATTACATGTCCATTGCAAAATATGGCATTAAGTAAACATCAAGAGGTTTCTCTGCATGGGTGTTATGTTTTGGTGTTTAGGACCATCAGATACCTTTGAAATGATCATGAATGAGTTATTTACATTATACATGCTGAAAAATCAGTGGTAAAAAATAATAATTGCAATCTCCCTTACAGAGACTACTGTAAACTGTCCGTTACCTCACCCATCTCACCTCTTGATTATTCTGTTCTAGGCAGTGGGAAACTGGAAGTGTTCCCATTGCACACTGTGCAAAGGGTGGGATAAAACAGGTGGCCAAGTCTATCACAGGAATCACCCACAAAGGAATACACAAACACACATTTAAGAGGAATTCCAAATCGCATGCCCATATTTTGACTGTGTGTACACTATCACAGAGAATTTACCAACTAAACTTAAAAAAAAAAAAATTGGTCTAAACCAGTGATTCCGCCACTTGTTAAAATCTGGCATTTTCTACTGCCTTGCAGATCAAACGTCATTCTCTTGAAATCACTGCTCTCTGGTGAATAGTGCCAATTATTATTTTGATAAAGGTCCAAACACATGACATGGCAGATTATAAGTTCTCCTCCTTGCACAGGGCAGAACGATCAGCTGACAGAGACCCATGCTCTGTATCAGTCGCACTAAAGTCACAGTGGGATGCAAGGAGAGATAAAGTCACAGACATGTGGTAGGTGCTATAAAAACAAGGACAGGACAGTCAACATGCCAAGGGTGACCGATAAGGAGTAACAAAGATAGCTTCAAAGCTAGTTTAACTGTAGGGCCCAAGAGAACCTAATTAACACGAGGAAGAAAAGAAAGAGTGATAAGCAAACATTACATAATTAATCTGGATTGTTTAAAACAGTGAATACTTGTCAAACCTAGTCTGACCTAGTATGGCCCAACTACTCCTGAACAAATACACGAAAAGTACCCAGAATCATATGTTAAGAGTCAAACTCAATTTAACTTAACGGGGAGGTTCAGAAAGTAAAGTGACTAACCAAGACCACCTCATTACAGCACAGTACTCACACCCTGCAGCCAATTATCTGTTAATGTTCCAGTAGCATACTATGCATTATTTTGATGCATCAAAGGTATTTTGGTGATACAGTGGGGAGCTATCCAACATTAAGATGAAGACAATGTTGGATAATTCCTCCCACCCACTCCATGACATGCTGGTCAGTCACAGGAGCACGTTCAGTGAGAGACTGAGATTACCAAAAAGCATTACTAATAAAGTATTCTGATTAGGTAGGTGTTTATTATGTTGTGGCTGTAAGATAACTCAATAATAAGAATTTAGACAGACTGATCTTTTCCTTGTATCTTCTCAATAAATGCTGCAAAGTTTCACTCTGCGTTTATATACCACTCTGCGGGTCATCGGATTCTTGGGGTTTTCTCCGCATTACTGTAGTCTTTACCTTGCAAAATAAAACGACTTGAGACAACTGTTGTTGTGATTTGGTGCTATATAACTAAAACTGAATTATTTGAAACAGAGGTTTAAGCTAGGCTGCACCTGTGTTTCATGCTCCATTTGGTACCTGCAAAGCAAACAAAAGAATTTAAACTGTGCTGCAAATATTAAGCAATTTTATTGGGTAAATACTCCCATAAATTTCTGATCATGCTGTACGTGCACAATCTCTGAAGGCTAAGCTCTGAGTGGTTTTTGTGGATGTGGACCACACTGGGACAAGATGTCTGGCCATAAAGGTAACTCTGATCTCTGGAAAAGCTGTCCAAAAGTAATGACTTAAAAATAGCTCCATTTTGACTTTAGTATGAAAATCTTAACATAGTTTTAGATTGTGCTCTAAAACAGTAAATCTCTGATTTACTGTAAGGAGTTTGTAATCCAGTTCTGTGTGATGCAATATTTTATCTTCATTTAATTCCCAACAACAGGTCAAAGTGTGCTCAATCTATCATCTTGTATGATGACAGATCTACGCTTCCTGTGCGCAACCCTGGTGCTTATAGTCTGTGATAAGATCACTGTGGTGTATTGCTGCAGATGGCAGTAATGGGCCTTGTATGTCTTCCACTTCCCATTAGCTTCAACCTGTAGAAAGCCAAAGTAATAGTATATGCGCATATAGTACTTCCTTTCTCTCAATTTCCGTCTTCATCATCTTCAAACACTGTACTGGACTACAAAGTGTGTCTGCTAGCACAGGGGCATTATGCATATTTAATATCAGCCTCTCAGATGTCCTGGTCAGCTAATGGGGCACACACAGCAGGAGTGTACCTCACTTATAACTTCAGAGACCTCCAATAGACATGCAGAGCACAAAGTGTGTGACATGGCACAACACTGGACTGTGAAAAGTGTTCTATAACTATATATTTAAGTTACAGCAAGCGCATAAAATTGATACAATTTGTCTTAAACGCTAAAACTGTTTCCCTCGAGTTTTGACAGTTACATGATAAAATGCTTCAACTTACTCAAGTTTATCAAAATGAACTTTACATAAAGACTATAACTATAAATAAACCCTGCGTGCTGTTTCTAGGCTCTTTGGACTGGTGACAAAGAAGGCAGCAAAAGATGGCATACGTGATGAAAAATAGAATACATTTATGGACGCATGCAAATTTTTACCAATTACTTTGTTAAAAAAAAAAAAAGCACTATTGCTATTTGGTTAATATTTCCCATGACACGTAAAGCAGAATTTAAGAGCCACAATTCACAATTAATTTACATGATATTTTAAATGGCACAAAGTGCAAGAGAAACGGCTCTTAGTCAGTATTCTAACAATAATCTGTAAAACAGTTTTGTAATTTTAGAGGAGAAGATTATTGTTCTACAAAGGCCACAAGTAATGGGATGCCAACACTTGCCATTTAAGGCTCAGACTCTCTACCTGTGGCCTAGATTTCTGGCCATAATAGGACATGGATCTGAACAATAGATCTCTGTTGGGAGAGGCTGAATAACAGAAATGAATACAAATGCTCAGAATTTGTTTTGCAGAGGGAAAAAAGGAAAAAACAAAAGGTGGGCGGTATGAGGGGGAGTGTTGTTAAATCCAGTGAGCATTTAAGTCAGATTATGCCGCTTCCATAGCGACTAGGTCACCTTTTTCTTGGTCTTTCCCTGCACCCCCACCCCCCTTCTCATCATCCAAAACAAATCTGACAGAAACTTTAGTTGTTCCTGCTGGACAATCTAGTTCACAGCATAGCCTCAAATCATTTTATCACAACAAACATCTTACAACAGACCAGAATGTTCAAAAACCTCCTAGCTTGAGGAACAAAGATAATTTGGATGAAGGAGGCAATGATGTCAACCAGGTGGCAAGAGTTCAATGGATGAGGCAGACTTATTTATTATCCTGGAAGTATTATAAACTGTTTGTTTGTTGTTGTTGTTTTAAAAACTTTTTTGTCATCATATTTGTAGCCTTGATTCTGTCTTGATTGTCAGACTAAAATATGGGTGATGACAAATTGAGCAGAAAATACAGACACGATACAGACTGCACACCAAGCCTTCAGTTCACCAAGTGCTGTGGAGAAACCGGGTACTTTTTTTATGTAATGTGACACCAAGTTTGTGCTTTTTTAAAATTCTAATAATAACCAAAGTGTTGGTTCTCCAACAGCCTCAACAGACCTTAAAAGAGACCCAAACATTAAAAAGCCGCGTGAAATGCTCACTTCAGAGAGCTTACATAACATATCTATTTGACCACGTTGCATTACCTGTTATCACAACCGTAATCAGCCTGAGTAGGCAGAATTTTCCCAGAGCCATATGCATCAAATAACAAAATGCCAGAAAAGACATAACCCCTATGAGTGTCTGAGTGTGGCTGTCTATTTATTAGTTTCATATACAACCATCTCAAAGGCCGTGATTTGAAACACTTACCCGGGGAGGCTAAAGCATCTTTATCCGAAGACGAGCTGTGCCTGTACCGTCTGCTTCGCTTTTCTTTTACACCTCTCGGAGACGACGAGCTTCCTGCTAAGCACGGTAACAGCAGCGCCTCTTCGCCGGAGCCCTCTGTCTCTAGTTCGGTCAACACGCTTTCACAAGAGTCCGAAATACGTATGGCACCACCGGGGTTCGCCCCAGTTGTCAGACCTATCCGGTTCCTGTCAAATAACACCTTTGGAGGGTCTATGGAGTGAAAGTTAGACTCCAGCACTGGCACCGCTGTTTCCCCCGTGTCCAGCACTGGCTCGCCGGTCTCTGTCTCTGTCAGGTCGCATTCTGACATCATTCTGACTCAGGCCCTAATACATACAGTTAAATATATAACGTATTAACTCAACTTCGTTTCGAGCTGTCAGCTTATCATTGTAAGAACACGGCATGTATCCAAATCAAACAGCTACTGCTTTCACTCAACGATATGTCCACATAATCCGTGGAGACAGTCTCCTCTGCTTCCTAGTTAGCTAGATGCGCATGCGCCACACAAAACGACGCTGCTGGCTATGAGTTGCCTTCAAGTACAGCTTGGAAAAGCTGAAGAAATTCAAAGACGTGAGCGAGCCCCCGTGTTTCAAATTCCCGGTTGACAAGTACACTCGAGAGCTTTACATCATTACTTCTGTTATTACCGTGTGACTAACGTAGTTGTCAGTTTGCAAAGTCAGAAACAGAAACAAATAAAAAAAAAATACAAATTAGGCTGTAGAACATGTCGGTCTATAAACACGTACCTTCCTACGCTATTTATTAGAGATTAGCTATGTTAAGTAGACCTGCTATCAAGATATCCGTTTCTGACCTGGCATTTATTTATTTATTTATTTATTTGCAAAACAAATATATTCATAGTTTTGCCCTTTCTGTCTTCTTCTCCGGTGCTTGAAGAATTTCAAATTCATGAACTGAGTTAGAATTATTGGCACATGATAGGGCTACGTTAGTATTTCTTTTGTTTTATTAAAATGCATTTTCTAAGCTATTAATACAAAAATACTCTGGTGGTTACTGTAGTGGTTACTGTACAGGCTTTTCAACTGACTCGACGCAGTCCAGCAGTTTTATTCACGGCCACTAGATGTCAACAATATTACATAAATGAAAATGGTTGCAACGCATCACCTCACAAGCAAAAAATGTCTAGTCTTTATACATTTTTTAAAATTTGCTGTAAAATACTTAAATACTATTTTCAAGTCGTCATCAAGTGTCATTGTTTGAAGTGTGGCAAGCATAGTTACTGGTTTAGAATGCCTCTGAAGTTAATATTGGATCCACACATGGGCCTTTCCCGCTGCCACCTCATGGTAAGATAATGACATTTTTTATTTAGCTCAATTTTCCAGTTTCGACCCAAGGTGAATTAATGCAAATTGAATAACCTCTGCATTAACTTAGCAAGGCTTAATATGGTAATTTTTCATCCCTAGTTTTACTTTCCCCTCTCTCTTCCTGTCTCGCCTATAAATTCAAGCTCCCTCTCTTTTCTTTCAGTTCTGTCAGTGCCCCTCAATCACCCAGTGGTCTGCACAGCACCCACTCATCCCTCTGCCCCCCTTCCACCTATAATTCTGCCCTACCACCACCACCCGTCTCTCTAATAAGGGAGTGTAGCTGAAACACTTGCAAATGAACAGTCAGCCAGCTGGTAACACAGCAGTCATGTGATCTATCAAGGTAGGGGGTTAGAGGGTGAAGGAGACATGGAAGGTGAGAGAGGCTTGGTGTGCTTGGGATAGAATATGGATCTGGAAAAAGGAGAAGGAGATGGACAGTTTTAAAGGCACACTGAAGGCTAGACAGGTATATCTCTGCTTACTCTTTGCTAGATGTCATAATAAACCCTCTCTCCCTTTGTCCATCTCCTCTCTCGATACTATTTCTTTTTCAGCCTCTTCACCCTTTATTTCAATATCCATCTCACCTTCAAGAGCAAACACCTGAAATGTCACTGGAGTGACACATGACACTCAACAGGAAAACGCATCAACCACATCTCTGTTTTTTTTTTTCATATGCGTGCCAGTGTGTGTTTGAAAAAAAGAGAGCGAGAGCGTGTGCATAGAAACTGTGCACTTCACCCACCACTGGGTGACAAGCTCCTGCAGCAGTGAAGGCACACTGCAGACACACTGCTTGCACGTGCACGTGTGTGTGTGTGTGGGTGTGTGTGTGTGTTTGACAGAGAGAGCCCCATGTTTGCCTCACTGTAGCACCCATTCCAGTAGATTCTGCTGGCAGAAGATCTAGTTTACCCTGCCAACAGCAACCACTCTTATCCGTTCCTGCTCCTTTCCCCTGGCGGCTTGATGGGGGAGAGAGGGAGAACCCTCTAGCCCAACTAATTTTTTACATGCATCTGTATTGTTGGTGATTAGAGTTTTTATTAGTTTGTGAGGGAACACAATCATGCCGCATGCCCAGAAATCTAAAAGTGTAAGCCCCTGATTGCAAAGTCTTAAAAATTTAGACATCTACCAGAATTTGATGCTGCAACATTCAAAAATTGTATTTATTTGCACTGACTCACACTTTTCTACATCCAAATTAATTTACATTACAAAAGTGAACAGTCACATATACATAGCATTGCCTAGTTCTACCACATTTATAAATATTTTAATTCGTCAAAAGGGAACAAAGAGAGCTCACTCTGTCCTATAAGGTTTACAGTATATTCCGGTCCTTCGTTATTATTTATTCACTCCTTTATCTTTTGCCTTATATAAACCGGATCTTTTAAATGTCAGCATTTGTTCATTTTTGCCTCATCCTGGCTTTTGTTGAGGGGATATACTGTGCCACACCGACGTCAGTTACCTGTTACCTGTTAAGAAAGATTTACACAGAGAAAAGGCATTCAGAAATAGCGTGTGGTTGGCCAGTTGTGCGTGTTTGTGTTTTCATATTGAGATGGCAGTATACCTCTCGGTCCAAACATCTTCAGATAGCAGTGTGTACAGTATGGCTTCTCATCATACTGAAACACAACGAGTAACACATATTTATAGCATCATCCTACTCATTCAGTAAACTGCATTCATATTACTTTCCTTGAATACTTAATTGACTCAGTTGTTGTCCTTATATACCTCAGCATGTTGTCCAGGGGTGAGCTGTCTGTTACACTTCTGACACTTCAGACACAGAGGATGGTAGTCTCTCCCTAAGGACCTCTTCTTCTCACCTGCACCAAAGGAAGAGATGGACTAGCTTAATGAGAGGCAGGATCGGATATTTTTCTTCATATTTAATTAAAAAGTCAAAAGGATTTTGCATCTCATACAATTTCTGATAACACAATGTCTGGATTTCATGTGTCTGGTTCAGAAGTTACAGACTATTAGCCTCATCAGTGCAAGTAGGCCAGAGACTGTGATGTTGAACTAAAAGTAGGGCAGGTCACATCAGAGAATTTGAACTTAGCCGGTGCATGAACAGGCGAGAAAAACTAACAGCAAAAATAACAACCAAAGAGGAATCTAACTGGTGGTTTGAGTCATTTTGTGGATCTAATGGCTAGGCCTGAATGTGGAAAAGGACTTGTTTAAAAGAGAGAGGAGGTAGGGAGGAAACCCAAAGAGCAGTGCATGCTCGTTTGGCTAGACCCACATCCTGTTGTTATCATGGATACGAGTGTGTGCATTTGTGTGCATGTGTGGTTCAAATAAAGCCAAAAGCCTTAAAAAGAAAGAGTGAAAGGCCTTTTTTTTGTCCTCTAAAAAGAAAATAGATAACAATTTTGCATTTAAGGAACATATTGATATCATTGCACTTTGTCTAATGTAGATAATAAGACTTTGCAGAAAGAAAACAAAACACAAGGTGAACCTCAATCTTATGTTAACTCCAAAAAATGCCCTTTATTAATTTTATTACACCTGGTTTCACCTGTTCATTATTTGTGCTTTATTTCAGATTTCAAGTTTTATGACAATGCCAAACTGATCTGCCACAGAGATGATAGACAGACAGATAAAGAGCGTGTAAAGCAAGTGCCAGACAGAAAGAGGAAGACAATTGCATCGAGTTTAAAAATTAAACAGGTCAGACTTACCAAAGTAGACAGGCTTCCCGCAAATTGGACAGTAGCCTACCATGATAGTATCTAATTATTTATCAGTATATGCGTTTATGTGTGCACCTTTTTAGTCCACAGTGTCCTATGAGCGAAATCGCGTGAATACGGGTGTGAACTGAAAAGTGACAGGAAAACCGTTAAACTGTAGACATCTCAGCATCTTGTGCAGTCAAAACCAGGATGTGGTGAGACGTCACAGGAAGAGAGTAAACTTTGAGATTTGAGCAGTAAATGGTGTCATCAGTGGAAAAACTAGAGACAGGTAGTTTCTCTCTCTGTCTCTTTCATATGTGTGTGTGTGTGTGTGTATAATTTGATCATTTTACATAATTTAAATCACTTTATTTTACAGTGAACTTTTCATATCTTCATATAATGTGTTGTGCACTCATCTATAACACTGTAAAGAGAGAAAGAAAGAAGGAACAAAAAACATCTGTCACCAGCTCAAATTCCCAGCTACCTTCTCCCTTTTCGTGCTCTTTTCACCCTCTTTTCTAGATTAAAAACAAGGATTTGAGCTCCTGAACTGAAAAGGGAAACTTGACACTTGTGCCTTTCTTTTCTTCTTTCTGTCTGTCTTCTTTCTCTCTCTCTCTCTCTCCCTCTGTGTGTGTGTCAAATACTCACACACACCTCCCGCTCACTGACTCACACAGACACCATACACCCATTTACACACACACATGCACTCACCAAAAAGGCCATCCTTCTGCTCAGTGACATCACATAAAGAGGCTGCAGCCAAAGTGCGGAGGGAGAGTCAGGGTGAGGCTGGTCTAGTGGAGGGACAGATGGGGCTGGGCAGCGGAGGCAGTTGTCCCCTAGGGATAGGTGATGGAAGCAGACCTCGGGAGGGACAGGGGTGAGGAGAGATGAGCGAGACAAGGTTGGAGACAGTAGCCAACTACAGCTCAGCGGGGACAAAGACGATGAACTGTGATGAACTTTGTTGAGTGCAGAACAAGGCCACTGAAGTCACTGTGGAAGACAGGCAAATGTCTGTGTGGTTCGATTGCTATCACTGTCTGGGCTTATACATGGCTGAAATAGATGTTTAGCAGCATCAAGGACCAAAGACCAGACTCTGCAAGAGCTTCTTCCCCCAAGCAGTGCACTCACTACCACCAAAGGACTGATATACACATACACCTCTACAAACACCTTACAATACTCACCAAAAGACTCAAAAACAACAAAAACTTCCGCTAATCAACTACAAACTGGACCTGGGAACAATATGCTTATTTTCACACTCAGTCTCATAGTTGCTGAACACATATCTAAATTATATTATATTTGCACATTTTCCATCTTGCACATGTCTTCGCCCTGTCTCGTCTACAATATCATGACAATAACTTGAACCTGGTATTCAATACCTACTGCACAAT